GATATGACAACCCCTGTCTAGCAAATATGACAACCCCTGTCTAGCTAAACGGACAATCTTTTGCCTACCAGATCGAGTCAATCACTAATTCTATTTTAGGTTGAAATATGCAGCTTGTGTAATGGGAATATTTGGGCCCAAACCTATATATATATATATATATATATATATATATATATATATATATATATATATATATATATATATATATATATATAACAAGAAATTTAAAGGAACTTTAGCATTAGAGTTCATACAGATTAGAATCCATCAAGTCCGGAGTTACTAAACCATTTTTTTCATTACTTTCTTTTTTCTAAATGACAATGCTTTTTCTTTTTTAAATTCACGTGCAAGATTAAATGTTAAATTATTTTAATAAACAATTATCAGTTTTGTTTGTAATGATTAGACTTGTGAATAAATCACAGGAGTAAAACTTGTATCGACGTGTTTTAAGAAAGGTCATCTACCTCATCAAGAGGTATAGAATAATGATCGTTTGCTCATTTGCTTACAATTCGCAGTTCAAATCAGCTTACCATATTTTTCATCTTTTAGCCTCGAATTGTGCCAAATAAAATAAACCGGGAGTGATCTCCCCTAAACTTTCACGAATATTCTTATATAAAACAACAGGGGAGTGATCTCCCCTAAACTTTCTCGAATATTCTTATATAACTTGGAATGTAGACATGATTTTTAATTACTTAAACTTTTAAAAATAGAATAGAATCTCATAGAAAAAAACATTGCGCACCAAACAAACGCCGAAACAAAATGTGCATAATAGTGCGCAATATTATTAGTACTTTATAAATTTACTTGCGTTTTTGAGAAATCGGAAATAGCGTAAATTAGTACTTCCGGTCAACGAAAATTACTCAAAATTTAATAGAAGGTAGAGAATTAGATCTATTAATTACATGTTAAATTTCATTTATCTATCTGAAATAGTACTCAAGTTATAGGCTTTTGAAAAATTCAAAGTAGGAAAAAGTACCACTTCCGGTTATCGAAAATCGCTAAAAAGTTGATACGGATCTACGATTTTGATAAAATACTTATATATGAAATTTCATCAACCTAGCTGTAACGGTACTCAAGTTATCGTGTTTACACACAGACACACACACAGACAGACAGACAGACACACAGACACACAGACATACGGACAAGATTGCAAAATTATGTTTTTCCGTATCAGTGAGGTGTAAAACGTCAAGATTTGCAAAAATCTCGATTTTTTTTTTTTTTGCACCATTACAAGACTTTCTCTATACTTCGTATATACGAGAAAGTAATAAAATAGAATCTCATAGAAAAATGTATTGCACACCAAGCGAACGCCGAATAAAGATGTTCATAATGGCGCGCAATATTATTAGTACTATATACATTTAGATGCGATTTTGAGAAATCAGAAATAGCGTAAATTAGTACTTCCCGTCAACGGAAATTACTCAAAATTTGAGAGAACGAAGAGAATTAGATTTTTTACTTACATGTGAAATTTCATTTATCTATCTGAAGTAGTACTCAAGTTATAGGCTTTTGAAAAATTCAAAGTAGAAAAAGTACCACTTCCGTTTATTGGAAATCGCTCAAAAGTTGATACGGATCTACGATTTTGATAAAATACTTATATATGAAATTTCATCAACCTAGCTGTAACGGTACTCAAGTTATCGTGTTTACACACACGCAGACACGCAGACACACACACACACAGACATACGGACAAGATTGCAAAATTATGTTTTTCCGTATCAGTGAGGTGTAAAACGTCGAGATTTGTAAAAATCTCGATTTTGTTTGCACGATTACAATACTTTTTCTATACTACGTATATACGAGAAAGTAAAAATGCGAGGCATTTGAGATGTACATTACTAAGCAGAATACCGTTTAAAATGTATTATTTGAGTATGGGGGATTCCTTCCCTTTTTTTGGAAGTGATCAAAAAGTTAATCTGTAATCTGGAAATGTTGTTTTATTAGTAAATTGTGGTCATTTGTTATATTTAACCACGTATAATTGTTCCCCTTTTGATTATTCTTTCGATTTGTACATATCAATTTAACTTCAACATATAATTTACCATTATGTAAAGTATTACCAACCTACCAGTGTAAAATATGTTGTAATTTGTTTTATGGTAAATATAAGTTTAAAAAAAAAAAAAGTTTAGGGGAGATCACTCCCGCTTTATTTTTTATTTAAATATGTCTAATTCTCTTTCTTACAATGACAGCTACCCCCTTCTTAACGACCCACTGCCTATCTGTACTACCTGTCTTAAATCACACTCTGACTGTTTCTTAATACTAGCATTTACATTCCATTTTAACACCTACTTAAACACCTGCAACCCGTCCATTAAAACTATCAGCAACCCATCCAATACAACCCATCAACCCATCCAGTGCAATCCCCATCAACCCATCCTCTACAATCCCCATCAACCCATCCAATACAATCCCCATCAACCCATCCTCTACAATCCCCATCAACCCATCCAATACAACCACCATCAACCCATCCAATACAACCACCATCAACCCATCCAATACAACCACCATCAACCCATCCAATACAAATCCCCATCAACCCATCCAATACAACCACCATCAACCCATCCAATACAACCACCATCAACCCATCCAATACAACCACCATCAACCCACCCAATACAAATCCCCATCAAACCATCCTCTACAATCCCCATCAACCCATCCAGTGCAATCCCCATCAACTCATCCAATACAACCACCATCAACCCATCCTATAAAACTACAGACATCCCTATCAAACATTTACAGCGCATCTCTCAACATGAATCTATCCTGACACCTTTACCAGTGTGTGACAGATACCATTATGTTTTACAATGACGTGTTTACTAGACCAAACACCTGTCACGTGACTTTAACCCCCCCCCCCTCTGTGATGGGTTCAACCGAACTCACGCCTGCAAAAAATATAACCAATCAGAAACACGTTTAATAAGTCAACATTTTATTGATCACACTACTGCGTCTGTGATAAAAGACAAACAAACAGCATCAAGGATAGATTATAATAGGCTTATACTGGCTTGTAGTGGCCCATATTCTTTATTTACAACTGTCGGACTTGGGTATATTATTATATATTTTGGGTATTACATGTTGTGGATATACGTACTAACTATACAATGGATTTAGTTAGTAATATACAGTATCACATTCATAAAGTATCACTAACATACATTATCACTGTCATACAGTTTCACTGTTATAAAGCGTAATAAAACAATAATATAAAGCCTTAAGAGTACATGTAGCTTATAACTATTTGTAATGTTTACAAATGAGTGGAACAGCCGTCTTATTATTTAAAAAAAAAGTAGCGTAGATTACATCTCATTTAAAGAAAGTAATGTTTAACTTAACTCCACAAATAGAATGTTTACGCCACGCTTCAGTGATTTAGCAGACACACCTCAGTAACTTGATATCACCAGATTTCAAAGTCATTCTGTTGGACATCATTGGCTTCAAGACTAACAAAGCCAAATTTTAATTTAACGTTGCAACGTTTATAAATCGACATGCAAACATTAATATTTGAGGTTTGATTTTATCGAATTTTGGCCGACTCGATCACGCCTCCAACACAATTAAGGATGCGTGTCAACTGGTTATGCGCCATTTAGGTTTTTCTTTTTGGATTTACTTTGTCCAACCAAGAACAAATTGCAAGGCAGCAGTTTTTTTTTATTTTGGAGTTGTCTCTCCTAAAAGAGTTGCTGTCCCCAGCTAACGAGCTTTATCTGCCCGCGAGACTTTTCAGTTTAGCAACCATGAGCTTTACCGACTCGACCACGCCAACCCCCTTGTTTTTTTGTTTTTTTTAATTCAGGGTATATAACACATCAGGACATAACATAATTAAATAAACCGGGAGTGATCTCCCCTAAACTTTCTCGAATATTCTAATATAACACTGCGTGGGATGTCAACTCGGAATATAGACATGATTTTTGTTTACTTAAACTTTTAAAAATAGAATAAAATCTAGTACTTTATAAATTTACATGCGTTTTTTGAGAAATCGGAAATAGCGTAAATTAGTACTTCCGGTCAACGGAAATTACTCAAAATTTGATAGAAGGTAGAGAATTAGATCTGTTACTTACATGTGAAATTTCATTTATCTATCTGAATTAGTACTCAAGTTATAGGCTTTTGAAAAATTCAAAGTAGAAAAAGTACCACTTCCGGTTATCGGAAATCGCTCAAAAGTTGATAAGGATCTACGATTTTGATATAATACTTATATATGAAATTTCATCAACCTAGCTGTAACGGTACTCAAGTAATCGTGTTTACACACAGACAGACACACAGACACACACACACACACACACACACACACAGACATACGGACAAGATTGCAAAATTATGTTTTTCCGTATCAGTGAGGTGTAAAACGTCGAGATTTGTAAAAATCTCGATTTTTTTTTTGCACGATTACAATACTTTCTCTATACTACGTATATACGAGAAGTAAAAAGAAAGCACTTGCAGCAACAAAGTTGACAGAAAAACTCTGTACACGAAAATATTTACGATGTAACTACACATCAAGTAAACATACATTTACATAAGGTATTAATATAAGTGTGATCAAAGATGGAGGCAATAAAACACAGGCGAGCTTCACATTATGTAACTTCAGCCTAGTGCTTGTGAATATTGGTAGCTCCTGTTTAACAGTGGTGATCTTAATATTAAGCCAGCGTGTTAGTTTAACAGTGGTTAGTTGAAATTTACAGTTATTTCTACAGTGTTTAATGCTATAAATGAGTAGTAGCTACAATGGTGGTCTGCCCCTGATCATGTCTGCTACTATAAATGTGGGAGAGGCTGTGGTGGTGGTCTGCCCCTGATTATTATCTACTGCTATAAATGTGGAAGAGGTTGAAGTGGTGGTCTGCCCCTGATCATGTCAGCTGCTATAAATGTGGGAGAGGTTGAAGTGGTGGTCTGCCCCTGATCATGTCTGCTGCTCTCTCACCAATCATGATTGTGGGGGCGTTGGTGTTGGCGGACACAAGCCAGGGCGTGATTGAGGCGTCCACAACACGGAGACCTTGGATGCCACGGACCCTGGGGGAAAAATAAAAGATAAACATTATGTCAATCTTTACTAGAAATGGCAATGCAGAACTTTAGATAAGAACAGTTTTACTTTTATCAATTATTTTTATCCAGCAATTCATTTTTTAGTACAAGACTCTACAGCTTATATAACTGACAGATTACCTGAGTTCAGGGTCAACGACCGCTGTTGGGTCATTAGCCGGCCCCATCTTACACGTGCCCACAGGGTGGAATATGGTGAGTGGTCTAAACTTGAGCATGCACGTCCAGTATTCGTGTGAGTCGTATCTGTGTTGTTTACACGAAGGTGGCGCTGATGTCTCTGTGAGTTCAGCACCGATATCTTTCATGGGCTGGGAGTTCACGATCTTCTTACACTCCTGAATGCCTTTAACAACAAATAGCGAAATAGCATAAACGAAAGTTTTATGAAATACGGAAGTGGAAGGTCATGGTCGTTCATGTTTGTACATGTGAAAAGAAACATTGTTGGCGATTACCTCTAATTAAAAGATCGATATCCTCCTGCTTGTCGAGGTAATTAGCCCAGATGACCGGATAATCGAAGGGGTCACTTGACCTCAGCCTGATGTGACCTCGACTTTCTGGACGGCACAGAGACGGCAGACATCTAAACCCGTATTTGGCTTTATCTCTCGCTGACATCTCGGCCTTGACCTAAGATATTCATACCCTAGAGTACCCATTTCTATTTGTTGTATTACACGATTCATACACAAGCCAATACAAGATGTACACCCATATTTATGTATCCGAAGGCCATAAGCGTTGAATAAGTATAATGACTTAATGAATACTTCTAGTTGCTTAATGTTACTATGCATAAACCAACTTACATATCGGTATCAAGAACCGACATATTTGTACACACTTACACCAAAACAAGACTCAGATGTCAAGTTGGAGTCATTTAACTGTGTACATGCCATCCAACTGACTGCTCCTGCACTAGTGACTTGACCCACCTCATCCGTGTACCCAAAGCCGTCAGTCGCCACAGGAGGGAGGATGTTGAAGAAGTGGATCTGTAGGTCAGGCCAGTCTTTCTCTCTCGTCTCTTTTGTTGTACTTCTGAAGGCTAGCACCTCCAGCTGGAAGGGTGAGTTGAGAATTCCTGCAGGAGGGAGTTGTTGGGTAGATTTTATTTCTAAACTTGGGTTTTACACACATAAAGACATAATGATAAATAAAACCAATGTAATAAGTTGTAAAACGTTTACATTTCGAATTATTTTTTTTCTGGTAATTTTGCAATTTATTTAACTTAATGTAACTAAATATCGTTTAAAATCACAGTCCTGTATCGTAGAGCTTAACTTTACTGAAATCAGCGTCACGAACCTGTAGCAAACAGCTTATACTTTAGATAGGATGTCAGGCTAGTGAAGTCATCAACAGTAAAGGTCAGTGGCTCACTGACCTTGACCCCAATGTCAAACATCACGTGATCCTGAAGGTTCTCCCCCACAGGTAGGTCCACCACCAAGGGAATCTGCGGTAGATGTAAACATTAGGTGAGTGTAGCAATTAGGTAGATGTAAACATTAGATGAGTGTAGCAATTAGGTAGACGTAAACATGAGGTGAGTGTAGCAATTAGTTAGATGCAAACATTAGATGAGTGTAGCAATTAGTTAGATGTAAACATTAGGTGAGTGTAGCAATTAGTTAGATGCAAACATTAGATGAGTGTAGCAATTAAGTAGATGTAAACATTAGGTGAGTGTAAGCAGGAAGTAGATATTTAGTAGGTGATCTTGTTAGTCTCCTTCAGCATAGATAGGTCAGCATCGACAAGAATCTATAAAATATGCCAGGTATAATTCATTAAGTAGAGGTACTGTACTAGATCTATTTACTGTAACATTGATATGTGATGAGACCAACACATGATTGATTAAGCTAACAACGTGCTCACGTTCAGGCTTTCCAGATGTTTCCTAGGTCCAACACCCGACAACATGAGAATCTGTGGTGAGCCTATAGCACCAGAGGACAAGATGACCTCACGTCTAGACTTGACCACAAACTTCCTCCCGTCTTTGATGACCTCCACACCTTCAGCTCTTTTATTGGTGATGATCATCTGTGGCATAAACAATGCTCATTATTTTTTTCATTAATTATGATCACCTAGTCAAATAATGTAAAAAATTAATTTAAATAGTCGATTAGGAAAATTCAATGCAGCATGACTTGTGCTGACCTTTTGTACATGTGCGTGTATAGCTACATGAAGATTTGATCTGTGAAGGTTGGGGTGGATAAAGGCACGACTTGTACTAAACCTTTCTCCGTTGTTTGAATTCACTTGAGAGTTTGTAATTCCTGATGGAAAATGAATTTGCATATTATATTAAATAATGTCATTGTTGAGTATAGATATTTTGCCAAAAATTCTCAGGTAGTTTTCAGTCTTTGAATAAATTTAACAAAAAATACCTTCCATGGTCTTGCCGTTGTAATCTTTATTATATGGGTACCCAACTGTCTGTGCAGCTTCTATTATTTTACGCGCGATTGGCAGGGAATTTACTCTATTGATGGTCCAGGGTCCATCATGGCCATGGTACTCTGGTTATTGAAAGTGAAAATTAAGTGTTACTCTAGAAGTCTACAACCTTTTGTTTTTTGTACAACACAAGCAAAACTAAATGAGGCAAAACCTGAGTCCTGCAGCTCTGGGATCTGAATCCTCTCTGTCTTCTTGAAATACGGCAGCACGTATTGGTAGCTCCACTCTTTGACCCCCGTGTACTCCGCCCACCTGTCGTAGTCGTGTCTGGAAGCTCTGACATACTGCATGGCGTTGATACTGCTGGAGCCTCCCAGTGCCCTACCCCGGGGCCAGTAAGATCTCTGGAGGAAGAGAAGTAGTGACAACTGCAGTTATACTTAAGCATGGGTTATATTTTATAGTATACAGATTTAATGTCTACGATTATGTAAAAAGGCATGATATTTACCACACTTAACTAAAATAAATTATACAAGCTGTTACAATGAGTAAAAGGCATTCACTGAAAGGTTTATTTTTTTATAAAATTGCTGGCTCAAGATATTATAAATACAAGGAGATATTGTCATAGATCGCATCATGTGTTCTACAAACGTTGTGTTATTCATGTCATCCACCGCGGATGTGAAGGGTTTATCCAAATCAAGCATGCTGGTTCTCACTTTCATAACTTAATGCTTTTTCTCTTAATGTTACTCCTTCTCACATAGATGCACTTTATACCACACTTTCGGTGGCCGGAAAGAACCGCAACGGAAAAAAGCGCAACGGAAAAAAGCGCAAATCAAAAAGCGCAACGGAAATAAGCGCACACGGAAAAAAGCGCAAAGAGAAAAAAGCGCAAACAGAAAAAAGCGCAAAGAGAAAAAAGCGCACACGGAAAAAAGCGCAAAGAGAAAAAAGCGCACACAGAAAAAAGCGCAAACAGAAAAAAGCGCAAACGGAAAAAAGCGCAAAGAGAAAAAAGCGCACACGGAAAAAAGCGCAAAGAGAAAAAAGCGCAAACAGAAAAAAGCGCAAAGAGAAAAAAGCGCACACAGAAAAAAGCGCAAACAGAAAAAAGCGCAAACGGAAAAAAGCGCAAAGAGAAAAAAGCGCAAACGGAAAAAAGCGCAAACAGAAAAAAGCGCACACGGAAAAAAGCGCAAACGGAAAAAAGCGCAAACGGAAAAAAGCGCAAACAGAAAAAAGCGCAAACGGAAAAAAGCGCAAACAGAAAAAAGCGCACACAGAAAAAAGCGCAAACAGAAAAAAGCGCAAACGGAAAAAAGCGCAAACAGAAAAAAGCGCACACAGAAAAAAGCGCAAACGGAAAAAAGCGCAAACAGAAACAGAAAAATGCGCAACCAGAAAAAACACAACGAAAAATGTGCAAAAGAGAAATTTAGCACAAAGACCATATGGACTAGATGACACATTTATACATGACTGTTAGGGCTGCTGTGAGAGTGTCGTGTTTGATCACGTGATCTACTACCATTTAAAGCGTACCACTACCATCTGCATTCCCATCACCACGATACAGGCGATAATCACTTTTATTATCCCTACCTAACCTCTAAATTTACTGCGCTAGATGTCACTTCCCTCCCAATCGTTCCTATTCTACAGAATTGTGTATACTATTCATTTACATTCTTTAATCTCAATATAACTAAAATAGACTTTTGTTTGAAGGGTAATGAAAACATGTAAACAAAAGGGACGCTACTCTAAATCTATGCGAATACTTATATGCAGTGGCGTAGTCAGGGGGGGTTTATGGGGGGTCATAACCCCCCCCCCATAGACTCCTCGGTATATATATATATATATATATATATATAAAGTATTAGGGGGGTGGATATCAAAGTTTAAGGGGGGGGGGGGTGGTACAATCGAAAGTTTGAGGGGGAAAAAGTCTGGAAGAAACACTGCATGTAGCCTGATGTTATTATAAAACTTCATCTCTCTTTGTTTCTTTATAAAGGTTATGGAAGGTTTTTAAGGTATTTTACTGAAATTTTTACCGGACGAATGCAAAATGATATAAACAACCATAGCTCTTCTGTTATATAGGCTACATGCAGTGTTTCTTCCAGACTTTCCCCCTCCCCCCCTCAAACTGTCGATTGTACCCCCCCCCCCCAAAAAATTCGATTTGCATATATATATATATATATATATATATATATATATATATATATATATATATATATATATATATATATATATATATATATATATATATATATATATATATATATATACCGAGGGGTCTATGGGGGGGGGGGGGTTATGAACCCTCATAAACCCCCCTGCCTACGCCACTGCATATAAGTATTCGCATAGATTTCGAGTAGCGTCCCTTTTGTTTACATGTTTTCATTACCCTTCAAACAAAAGTCTATTTTAGTTATATTGAGATTAAAGAATGTAAATAAATAGTATACACAATTCTGTAGAATAGGAACGATTGGGAGGGAAGTGACATTTAGCGCAGTAAATTTAGAGGTTAGGTAGGGTATAATAAATGGTGGGGTTAGGAAAGTTAAGGGGTCCATTCTCTAATAGGCAATCTATGTCTCTTTCGTACTTTCGTGTTGGTTTATTGTCGAACCTGTCCTCACCTCACATCACAACAGTTGGGTGACGCTTACCGTGTAATGTTAAAATAAATAGCATGTAATTGAGTTAGTTCGAAGTGAGTTTTCATACAAGCCCAACGCACTAATTAAGGTTGTCGCAAAATGTAACATATATGTAACATATGTAAATGATGTCAATGAATTTTCATTAAAAAAAGATGTCTAGTACAGTTTACGAAACTTACGAACCTCGCCGATACTTTTTTGGTGAGTAGTTTGGTAAGTATGTAGGCGGGTAGGTGGCTAGGTGGGTAAGTGGGTAGGTGGGTAGTTAGGTAGGTAGGTAGGTGGGTAGTAGGTAGGTAGGTAGGTGCGTCATGATGTGAAAAAATATTAAATTCAAAATTGTTATTTTGGTGCGAATGAATGTTGTTACGAGAGATATGACGAATGCATGTTTGATGACGCGGATAAAAGAGAGTGAAGTTTTGCCATAGGAACGGGTTGTTATAGTATGCAAGCTAGGTAGTTCGGACTAGGGAGAATGTGAAAGATACTTCGTGTAATGTCGATAGTTTTAAGTTTTAACGAGAATAGTAGTTGAATAATTATTGACCAAGAAAATAATAGGCATTGTGTAAAGTGATTATCGCCTGTATCGTGGTGATGGGAATGCAGATGGTAGTGGTACGCTTTAAATGGTAGTAGATCACGTGATCAAACACGACACTCTCACAGCAGCCCTAACAGTCATGTATAAATGTGTCATCTAGTCCATATGGTCTTTGTGCTAAATTTCTCTTTTGCACATTTTTCGTTGTGTTTTTTCTGGTTGCGCATTTTTCTGTTTCTGTTTGCGCTTTTTTCCGTTTGCGCTTTTTTTCTGTGTGCGCTTTTTTCTGTTTGCGCTTTTTTCCGTTTGCGCTTTTTTCTGTTTGCGCTTTTTTCTGTGTGCGCTTTTTTCTGTTTGCGCTTTTTTCCGTTTGCGCTTTTTTCTGTTTGCGCTTTTTTCCGTTTGCGCTTTTTTCCGTTTGCGCTTTTTTCCGTGTGCGCTTTTTTCTGTTTGCGCTTTTTTCCGTTTGCGCTTTTTTCTCTTTGCGCTTTTTTCCGTTTGCGCTTTTTTCTGTTTGCGCTTTTTTCTGTGTGCGCTTTTTTCTCTTTGCGCTTTTTTCTGTTTGCGCTTTTTTCTCTTTGCGCTTTTTTCCGTGTGCGCTTTTTTCTCTTTGCGCTTTTTTCCGTTTGCGCTTTTTTCTGTTTGCGCTTTTTTCTGTGTGCGCTTTTTTCTCTTTGCGCTTTTTCCCGTTTGCGCTTTTTTCTCTTTGCGCTTTTTTCTGTTTGCGCTTTTTTCTCTTTGCGCTTTTTTCCGTGTGCGCTTTTTTCTCTTTGCGCTTTTTTCCGTTTGCGCTTTTTTCTGTTTGCGCTTTTTTTCTGTGTGCGCTTTTTTCTCTTTGCGCTTTTTTCCGTTTGCGCTTTTTTCTCTTTGCGCTTTTTTCTGTTTGCGCTTTTTTCTCTTTGCGCTTTTTTCCGTGTGCGCTTATTTCCGTTGCGCTTTTTGATTTGCGCTTTTTTCCGTTGCGCTTTTTTCCGTTGCGGTTCTTTCTGGGAACCCACACTTTCATACCTAAATGCACAATTCATGTTGTTGTGAGACAGTGTTTATATAACGATCGATAACACAACTAGAGACACGTTTATGCAATGGTAGTTTTTAAAAATGCCTATATGTTTTTAAAGTGAATTATTGATAGCTGATAATATTGTCTACTATCAAACGATTCTTAACCATTTCTTGAAACCTCACACCTTACCCTTCCTCAAAGCCTCCTACATCTACCCCTCCCCCTTGAAGCCACTTACCTTACCTCCTCCACCTAAAAAACCTCCCACCTTACCCCTCCCTGGAATCCTCCCAACGAGCCATTCTGTGGCTCCGTGTAGTACCCCCACCTTACCCCCGCCCCCCCCCCCCCCCCTGAATCCCCCCACCTTACCCCTCCCTGGAATCCTCCCAACGAGCCATTCTGTGGCTCCGTGTAGTACTCCCAGTCTGTGACTGTCCTCCAGTTGGCCACGGCTAGACCAGGTGTGTAGATGTTGGTGTCCTCCCAGTCGTTCTCACCTGCCTCCAACAGCAGCACCGTCACATCCGGGTCTTCAGACAGACGACTGGCCACTACACATCCTGCAGACCCGGCACCAACTGTGAAATTACTTCATAACATTAGTATATACATGTATTTCGCTTCATCTTAGTTACATATTGATTCCTTCTGCTTATAAGCAGCACCATAACATAAACATATTGAGATCAGTATATTATTATGTAGTTAGCTGTAAGAGCTTTAAGGGGGTAGGCTCCAGAAAAAAAACATCTTCTAAATTAAAACGTTTTATTGATTTTTTTGTGTATGTCTAATTTAGGGCGATTAAACGAAAATATTTGAAAACTTCAGGGACTCTTTTCAAAATATGGTTGCCATGGCAACTGCGGCCATCTTAAAAAAACATTTTGCTGAGTTCTAAAATTTCATAAACTACAGTAGCGTAGCGAGGGGGGGGGGGGGCGGGACATACGTCCCTGGGCGCCGACCTTAGGGGGCGCCAAAATGGGTTGGAAAAATAAATTGAAAGGATGAGGAGACGCAAATTGAAAGTTTGAAGGGGGGAGGGGTTCAAATCGAAATCTTGAGGGGGGTAGCAAATCGAAAAGTTTGTTATTCCCGGGCGCCGGGAAGGGTCGCTACGCCTCTGATAAACTAACATATATTTCGGCTATAAACATCTTGTCACGCTAGTAAAATTTGTAAAAAAAAAAAAAACAAACACATCTAATTTATGTTAAGCTAGACTAGTTTTCCTTCAACTTTGACACCTCTGTTTGTGTGTAAATTGTTAAGACGAATTAACAGTACAAGGTATGCAGAGGAAGCTTTTTAATTGGAACACTTAGTTAAACCCACGGAAGCTGAATTAAAAGATTTTCAAATTGTTTTTATAGGTTTAGTTAATTTCCGTTTTTAAAAGCTGTAAATATTTAAAAAAAAAAAGCTGAAGTTTGCAAATATGTCTCTTGACGTATTGTGCTTTCATTGAATGTAGGCCAACCATGCATGAAATAAACAATAATATAGATCTAATAATGCTTTTAAACGTCTTAATACTGAAACTGAAGTGTTTGTACAACGACCTGATTTTAAGTATTGTCTGGCATTTAGTGACGACTTGAGGTTATTGTTTGGTGGTAAAATTAAATTAAACTAGTCTTAGAAAATAGCGATTCATGGAGCAGGTGAAGTAGAGTTCACCTGTTTCTGTGAACTCCATACATAAAGGGATTGTATGGTCAACATTATATGGAGCCGCCTTTACTTTTTCTAAAGTGTTTCAGGTTCCTATCAGAGCTGGGATGACTCAGGGACGGCCTATGGACCCGAACTCAAAACTTTCAGGTAGAAGTAGAGTGCTCTACCTATCTGACCACACTGACGTTTACGGAGTGGGGCGGGGAGAACAATGTGTTGGCGAAATCTTGCTGAAATTGGATGACGCCATTAATCAAAGATACAAAAGCTGTGAAAAAAAACCAATGGTACTCACCTACAATGTAATCGTAAGTACCGTTCAGCTTCGATACCAGAGCTGGCCTGGGTGAGGTGTGATATATATCGATGTAGAGAGTTTTTACAAGAATCGCGATCACCACAACCGATACTAGTTGTATCGCAGTAGACATCCTAGCTAAATTTCAAGATTCCAAGATTTTTAATACTCCTGCAGCACGTCGAAATGTTTGTTTAAAAAGCACCCAGAAGTTTTGTTTTTATTCCTATTTACCCTCACTGTGACAACACACACAGGACCACCACCTGTCAACTGATGAACTGCTGTCACCAACTGTCAACAGGTGTACCATTGTCACCACCTGTTGAGTGATCTACAGCCACTGTACACACGCCACTAAAGTACAACTTCATACAGAAAAACATTACATTCAATGCGAGCTACCGGAGCGGAAATTTCCGTTTGATACATAGGTCAATGTTCGTCGCAGCCTGCTAACCTTGACATTAGTGTTGTATGATAACATGTTGATGATGTACATGTAACAATAACCACATGTATATTGCCAAGTTAAGTTAGGTACCCATGATAAATGACTTGACTCAGGGACTAATTACGGCTTAGGCCCGTTCCTTGAACTCGTGACTTTATGTAGTGGAGAAAATCTTATTCTCCATTTATAAATACAAATTAATATGTGTGCAGAAAAATAGCAGAACAACATAAAAAAATATAAATAACGTCTACTGACTTATGAATTTATTCAACGGGTCATTTTTCAAGTCACGTTGTCCTTCACAACTTCAGTGAGTGTTTATATTTTGTGTTTGATAAAACACTCACCCTATGTTGTTGTACAGTATAATGTCAGCTTGAATGACTATGTTAGTAAAAGTATATTTATTAATTTTAATCATGTTTTGAAGCTAATCGGTGTTGGTTTAGTCAAGCGTGACGTTTATGTTCAACTAGGGAAAATGGCTGCAAACACAGTCAAAGGGAAGCAACCAATATAAATCTTGTGCAAACATAAATATTCGGTTACTTTTCTTTGTGTACCATTTTTTGTTCGGTACAGCCGTTATGATCGACTACATCTAACATGAAAATTAATTGGTGTCTGTTTACGTATATAATTATTTGTATCTACATTACCTATGGTACTGCGCATTTCATTGTTTGAGACAAATCTAAGAGACCATTAATTATAAAATACGCTTGTTTTGCCTGTGAAATGACTATTCACGTTTTTTTTTTCTCTAAAGGCACTTAGAATATTATATTAAAAAACACAAAACAAATCATCTATATAACACCCCAGCCCCTATTTAGAGTTTTCGGATGCATGACATCATTTAAGAAATATCCCTAATTAAAACTTTTAGTAATAATAATTCCTGTTCTTGATAATACGCTATTTTGGACAGGAATATTTTATCGTGAGATTGTGAGATTTATGTAAAGGTAGAGCTTCTTTAAATAATTCAATAACTTTGAATTCACTTCTTAGTGCAAAACGTTTAACTTAACATTAAGTAGATCAAAGCGCATTCATAACTTGTGATTTTTATGATACAGTTTAAACTTCAAATAGTGTGGTTACTGGCTTTAGAAAATAAATTATAATTAAACAAAGTTGTTAATTATTCTATACTTTATTCATTATACATATAAGCTAGAGTCTAGGTAAAAGTATTTGTTATGATATATATATATATATATATATATATATATATATATATATATATATATATATAATTAAGGGGTGAACAAACGCGGGTACACTTGCATAACAACAGTTTAAAAATGGTGGTATAAGCCTTACATAAGATAAACAAAGAGTCAAGTAAATCTCACATCAACTAAACTAAATCAAACAACGGTTAACCTAACTAACAAACAGCAGGTACAAGATATAAGAAGATATAACAACTCCTTGAGTACATAGATTAAATTGTGGCACATATCGTAAAAATAGAAAGTCAGTAAAAGAGGAGTAAGAAACCTTCACACTTTACCTAATTCAATACTTGTACACTGGTTTTCTTAAACTAAGTAGATAGCGGTAAGATATGAGTAAAGAAGGGGTTAAGTTAACGATGTCTTTAAATGGCAGATAGTGGCAGCTATAAAAAAGAGCAAAGACAATATCTGCTACGAACCTATCGGAGAACATTCTGGAATGTACCATTTTATTTAAAAATCACGATTAAAATAACAAACAATGCAATAAAACATTTGGTTACACGCTAAAAATACAGTGACACTAGATATCAGTCTAATTGGAAGAATTTCAAATCAGTCAACCTAATCGTAATACATCGCGACTTCTACACTTCAATGAATTTTGTGTAAGCTTTTCCTAAAACATGAAATTGTAGACCAACATTTTCACTCTAACATTAAAAACAAAAACTCAATCTTAACGTTGCTACATGTTAATTGTAAAGTTTCATTAACTTGTTTTCGTAAAGGTAAAATATATTTTAAGAGAAACAAAGAAAGTTGGATGGTTGGTAGAAATTAGAGCATTTGAGATGCCAGAAAGATTGGTATTAACTTGTAACTATCAAATTCTAGTTTTTCTTATTAATATTGTAAAAAAAAACGATAGACATTTCATTACAGTTTATATAGAGAAATCACAAGTTTTTGTTAGATTAAAAATGCGAATTTGGATTACATATTAAGCCCTTGCTATTATAAATGTGGGAGAGGTTTAAGTGGTGGTCTGCCCCTGATCATGTCTGCTGCCCTCTCACCAATCATGATTGTGGGGGCGTTGGTGTTGGCAGACACAAGCCAGGGCATGATTGAGGCGTCCACAACACGGAGACCTTGGATGCCACGGACCCTGGGGAAAGAAACACAAAATATATGACTTGTAAGTAAATTTTACATTAAACAACTGGCCAATCTGAAAGCTAGAGGATTTGTTTACTGGAATCTATAATAAAACGTTAAACGTGTGATCCGATTCGTTACTTTATTTTCCCTATATATTTTACTATACAATCTAAAATTATATTTGTAAACACGCCCAATATAAGGTCTGCTAGGTTGGTCTCTAATTAGTTTAATGAGATATATTACCTGAGTTCAGGGTCAACGACCGCTGTTGGGTCATTAGCCGGCCCCATCTTACACGTGCCCACAGGGTGGTATATGGTGAGTGGTCTAAACTTGAGCATGCACGTCCAGTATTCGTGTGAGTCGTATTTGTGTTGTTTACACGAAAGTGGCGCTGATGTTTCTGTGAGTTCAGCACCAATATCTTTCATGGGCTTCGAGTTCACGATCTTCTTACACTCCTGAATGCCTTTAAAGAATACATCTCATCTTAGTACCAATATAAACACGTCTAAAATGTGTTGAAACCCATATAAACAAGACGTCTAAAATGTCTTGAAACCCATGGCTTTAAAGAATACATCTCATCGAAGTAAGTACTAATATAAACACGTCTAAAAGATCTTGAAACCCATATAAACAACAAGTCTAAAATGTGTTGTTTGAAACCAATGCCTTTACAGAAGCCGATATGTAGGAAACTCGAACTAATTATTTAACCTAATTAGAAAATATAGTCACCTCTAATTAGCAGATCGATATCCTCCTGTTTGTCGAGGTAATTAGCCCAGATGACCGGATAATCGAAGGGGTCACTTGACCTCAGCCTGATGTGACCTCGACTTTCTGGACGGCACAGAGACGGCAGACATTTAAACCCATATTTGGCTTTATCTCTCTCGGACATCTCAGCATACACCTGGAAATGACCTCAGTAGTTAAATTAGGCTGAACTCCTTGTGCAACTTAGTCTAATCTTGTAAATTAATCGAAGAGCTTCAGCTATCTTCATTTATTGTCTTCAAGCACATGCAGTTATATGATGCACGACTTTATTATAAAACCCCCAACTTAACTAACCCTAACCCCGTGTGGGTTGTAGATACTTGAACTAAACCATGCCACAGTACCTCCTTAGTATATCCATATCCATCTTTTCCGGTGGGAGGGAGGATGTTGAAGAAGTGGATCTGCAGGTCAGGCCAGTCTTTCTCTCTCGTCTCTTTTGTTGTACTTCTAAAGGCTAGCACCTCCAGTTGGAAGGGGGAGTTGAGGATTCCTGGAGGTAAAAGTTATTCAAGTTTACTCCGGCTTGAAGCTGACTTGATCAAGCTTTAACTTAGAAGGTGGCGTTGTAATTGTGACTCAGAATAAGCTTACATCTTTACGTCTAATTATAGACAGTATGACAATCGTTTAATGGTGGAGGCCCTGTGTTCCATAAAGAGCAAAGAGAAATAAGTCAAGTAAGTCATGACAATCGTCTAACGATTAAAACAACTTCTGAGTGGTATAATACTGTTCCCACTGTGTCGACACTAGATCGAAGTTTAATGTGTACAAAATAACAGACCTGTACTGAACAGCTTGTACTTGAGGTAGGAGGTCAAGCTGTCGAAGTCGTTCATGTTGGCTGTTAAGGGCTCGGTGACCTTGACCCCCATGTCAAACATCAGGTGGTCCTGGAGGTTCTCTCCCACAGGTAGGTCAGCAACTACTGGGATCTAAGGTAGGTGTAAGCAAAGGTAGGTGTAAGCAAAGGTTTGGTGTGATCATTAGGAAGGTGTAAGAAGAAGGCAATTTACATATTAGATACGTGTAATCATTAGGTACATTTTAGCCTTACCTAGATGTAAGCAGTTATGAAGACACAATAATTATATAGATGTGCGTAGTATGTAGATGTAAGCGATTGGTAGATATAATCAATGTGCATGTTTTGTAATTATGAGTTCAAAAGTGCTCACGTTCAGACTTTCCAGATGTTTCTTGGGTCCAACACCCGACAACATGAGAATCTGTGGCGAGCCTATAGCACCAGAGGACAAGATGACCTCACGTCTAGACTTGACCACAAACTTCCTCCCGTCTTTGATGACCTCCACACCTTCTGTTTTTTTATTGGTGATTATCACCTGTGGTATAAACAATTTTCATTAACTTTTATAGAAACTTTCCTAGCAGTTGATTACACATTGCAATTTCAACACACGGGTAGGTTGGGGTTTGAGAGTTCCTTGTTTTGACAAGGTCACCATGTGGAATTTTAACAGTTCCAAAATCCCCCCATTTTATCTTATCGAAAATTCTACATCATAACTGGTCTATGCAACCATAAACGATCAGGAGAACTAAACGACTCATCAAAATACTAAAAGTGTTTAACAATACGTAATTGCTTTAATTACTAATGATAATTGGTTTATGAATACACCTCATTGAGATGGCTATAAGAGAAGTGGTTCAAGGTTAAAGGTGACTAATCGTCCCAATTATTTAAATGCAATGCTGCTTTCGAATGGTGGATAAAGGAACGACTTGTACTGACCTTTTGTACATGTGCGTGTACAGCTACATGAAGATTTGGTCTGTGAAGGTTGGGGTGGATAAAGGCACGACTTGTACTGTATCTCTGTCCGTTGTTTGAATTCACTTGAGAGTAGGAAATACCTGCAAACGATAAATGTGAAAATAATGGTTACTTTATTGTATGGAATCCTAAGTTTAAAGAAGATATCTGTCACATGAAAATAGTGAACGTCCAGCTTTACCTTCCATGGTCTTGCCGTTGTAATCTTTATTATGTGGGTACCCAACAGTCTGTGCAGCTTCTATGATCTTAGTAGCGATTGGATGAAAGTTTATTCTATTGATAGTCCAGGGTCCATCATGGCCATGGTATTCTAAATAAAATAAAAGGTATTTAAATCATGGCTGGCTATGTTATGTATAATTGAACAGTGTTAATTAATATCCTCTTTTCTAGTGCGTGCAAAAGAAACATGGGGCAGATAAAGTAGAGTTCATCTGTTTCAGAGATAAGGTGATAAAGTGGTCATCACTATGCCCAGCCGCCTTTTTTTTTCTAACTTGAGTTAGGTAGCCATAAGAGCTGGGTGGACTCAGGGACATCTACTGACTTGTAACCGGATTCGAACTCGAGACTTACGGGTTAGCAGCCTAGAGCTCTATCGCTAGGCCACTCTGTCCCAAACAGTGTTGATAGAAAAGCCAACATATCAATATGGATAATTAAATTTTAAAAATATAAATATATATTTGTTTTGCGTCTTGTTGGAAGATAGCAGATGAAAGTAATAGAGATAACTGTTTAGATAGAGTTATCTCTATAGCCAAATCAAATATTGGCCGGACTAAAAACCTGAGTCCTGCAACTCTGGGATCTGAATCCTCTCTGTCTTCTTGAAATACGGCAGCACGTATTGGTAGCTCCACTCTTTGACCCCCGTGTACTCCGCCCACCTGTCGTAGTCGTGTCTGGAAGCTCTGACATACTGCATGGCGTTGATGCTGCTGGAGCCTCCCAGTGCCCTACCCCGGGGCCAGAAGGATCGCTGATAACAGGGAAATAATGAGGCGGATTTTTAGTGGTCATGTGATCATGAGATGGAAGCAAGATAGGATGTGGCTATTTTATTGTCGAACTACTTAAACATAATTACTTTGTGCATTAAATATATTTTTAACAGAAATTAGAGTGTATTTTGGTATGTTTCTACTTATTTTAAAACACAATCAAACAACCAAAAATGTTGAAGCATTGAAAATTGAAATATTAAAGAAAAAACTCACAGAGAATAATCAACATTTATCCCCTAAATGCTCCCAAATAATCCCTCCCACCACCTCCAAGCCTTTAATAGTACCTGAGTGCCATCTATCTTATCCCTGGAATCCTCCCACTATAACCCCCCCCTCCCATCTTACCCCTCCCTGTAATCCTCCGTGTAGTACCCCCACCTTACCCCCCCCCCACCTTACCCCTCCCTGGAATCCTCCCAACGAGACATTCTGTAGCTCCGTGTAGTACCCCACCTTACCCCCCCCCCACCTTACCCCTCCCTGGAATCCTCCCAACGAGCCATTCTGCGCCTCCGTGTAGTACCCCACCTTACCCCCCCCCCACCTTACCCCTCCCTGGAATCCTCCCAACGAGCCATTCTGTGGCTCCGTGTAGTACCCCACCTTACCCCCCCACCTTACCCCTCCCTGGAATCCTCCCAAAGATCCATTCTGTGCCTCCGTGTAGTACCCCACCTTACCCCCCCCCACCTTACCCCTCCCTGGAATCCTCCCAACGAGCCATTCTGTAGCTCCGTGTAGTACCCCACCTTACCCCCCCCCACCTTACCCCTCCCTGGAATCCTCCCAAAGATCCATTCTGTGCCTCCGTGTAGTACCCCACCTTACCCCCCCCCCCACCTTACCCCTCCCTGGAATCCTCCCAACGAGCCATTCTGTGGCTCCGTGTAGTACCCCCACCTTACCCCTCCACCCACCTTACCCCCCCCCCCCCCCCCACCTTACCCCCCCCCCCCCCACCTTACCCCTCCCTGGAATCCTCCCAAAGATCCATTCTGTGGCTCCGTGTAGTACCCCACCTTACCCCCCCCCCCCCACCTTACCCCCCTCCCCACATACCCCCCCCCCCCACCTTACCCCTCCCTGGAATCCTCCCAACGAGCCATTCTGTGGCTCCGTGTAGTACTCCCAGTCTGTGACTGTCCTCCAGTTGGCCACGGCTAGACCAGGTGTGTAGATGTTGGTGTCCTCCCAGTCGTTCTCACCTGCCTCCAACAGCAGCACCGTCACATCCGGGTCTTCAGACAGACGACTGGCCACAACACATCCTGCAGACCCGGCACCAACTGGGGAACCAATATCATATCAATTTGGCTGGTGTTAAAATAAAAGTTACACTGAATCCATCGCTCCTTAAAATGCTGTCATGTTATTTGGTATACGACATAACATCTTAATACTATGGTACAAGAACTGTGAATACCCTGTTTGTATTTAATATGGGTTTTCGTGACCGGTTATCCTATTTTTTGGTTACTCTCTCATAATTTTATCTGCCCTTGTTATTCTAATTTTGTCAGCCTTGTTTGTACCTGGCCTGGTTATTCTACCATAAATTTGTCTACCCTGGTTATTCTACCATAAATTTGTCTGCCCTGGTTATTCTACCACTAGGCATGCTGCCCATCTTCGCTTAGGCTTTCGAAAACATTGAGAATTTGAATGCTTAATTAATTCGCCCGAAGGTCGGTCTACGACCTCAAGAGTTATGAAGAGGTTCCTCCGTGGACATTTTTTTTCGATTTATAGCTCATATAAGGTACCGGTCAGTCGAGGTCAGTTTTGACCCCCACATCGTAGACTTTTCGGCCAACCGGCCCCCGTGTTCTGTCGCACCAAGGCAAGATCATGCCAAATTTGAAGCGCCTGCGGCGCCGGGAAGTGCCCTATCGGACACCCGACAATCTAGAATCTAGATCTAGATCTAGATTCCTAAAAGAATTTTTTTTTTAAGTTTAGCCCGAGCATAATAAAAAAGAATACATTAACCAAGTTGACTTGCTGTGTGTCGAACCCGCACCACCTGCGTGGTTTAATGTACACTAACATCTCCGCTATTTAGGCACCTTATAAAATACGGAGAATGAAACACGTATTTTAAAATCTTAACTTACACGAATATGCCTATTCTTTCAAATTATTTTTTTATCCCAAATTAGCCAGTTCATAACAAAGATTTTGTATAAAATAAATAAGTCTTGAAATAGTTTAGTCCTAATATAGAAATTTATTTTTGGAATAGATTTTAGAGAAGTTAGAGTCTAAATCTAGATCTTAGCGTCTACGTCTAGATTATAGATCTAGTTATTGCGTAGATTTAGATTTAGTCTAGATCTAGAATCTCTAGATCTAGAATCCAAATAAATAAAATAAATTTTATGAGTTTAGGCCGGAAAAACTGTATTGTATACATTTCATAGTGTACGTAGATCTAAATCAAATTTGAATGAAATAGTTCATTTCTTTTTATTCAAAACACAGCAGATGACGTCATTAGTTAATGTATAAGCAATAGCGACGTCACAGTTTTATGCGTTCTTTTTCACATGTATTAATGCTTTTCCGGTTGCATAAATAATACTGTTTCTCTACATTCGAATACGCCTTTAATTTTTATTTTTCTTCTTTAAGTAAAATTGTGGTTATACATTTAAAACATCTAACATATTATTTTCAACAAAAGTCCGTAAAAAATTCTCGATATACCGCTGCCGATTCTGACGTGATGTCCGGCGAAAATTTTTTGCGGACAGAGAAAGAGAGAGAGAGAGAGAGAGATGTGCGCACATTGGGCTTTTATAAATTAGGATAAATTTGTCTGCCCTGGTTATTCTACCATAAAATTGTCTGCCCTGGTTATTCTACCATAAATTTTCTGCCCTGTTTATTCTACCATAAATTTGTCTGCCCTGGTTATTCTACCATAAATTTGTCTGCCCTGGTTATTCTACCATAAATTTGTCTGCCCTGGTTATTCTACCATAATTTTGTCTGCCCTGGTTATTCTACCATAAATTTGTCTGCCCTGGTTATTCTACCATAAATTTGTCTGCCCTGGTTATTCTACCATAAAATTGTCTGCCCTGGTTATTCTACCATAAATTTGTCTGCCCTGGTTATTCTACCATAAATTTGTCTGCCCTGGTTATTCTACCATAAATTTGTCTGCCCTGGTTATTCTACCATAAATTTGTCTGCCCCGGTTATTCTACCATAAATTTGTCTGCCCTGGTTATTCTACCATAAATTTGTCTGCCCTGGTTATTCTACCATAAATTTGTCTGCCCTGGTTATTCTACCATAAATTTGTCTGCCCTGGTTATTCTACCATAAATGTGTCTGCCCTGGTTATTCTACCATAAATCTGTCTGCCCTGGTTATTCTACCATAAATGTGTCTGCCCTGGTTATTCTACCATAAATTTGTCTGCCCTGGTTATTCTACCATAAATTTGTCTGCCCTGGTTATTCTACCATAAAATTGTCTGCCCTGGTTATTCTACCATAAATTTGTCTGCCCTGGTTATTCTACCATAAATTTGTCTGCCCTGGTTATTCTACCATAAATTTACTGCCCTGGTTATTCTACCATAATATTGTCTGCCCTGGTTATTCTACCATAAATTTGTCTGCCCTGGTTATTCTACCATAAATTTGTCTGCCCTGGTTATTCTACCATAAATTTGTCTGCCCTGGTTATTCTACCATAAATTTGTCTGCCCTGGTTATTCTACCATAAATTTGTCTGCCCTGGTTATTCTACCATAAATTTGTCTGCCCTGGTTATTCTACCATAAATTTGTCTGCAATGTCTCTACCTGTCCTTGATATTCTACCATTTTTTGTCCACCATGTTTCAGAGATAAGAAAAATACTAGATCGTTAACTACGCATGTTGTCTGCAAAAGAAAAAAAAAAATTAGCCTTTATCTGTTGTATTTGTAATGTCGTTAATTTAACATTAAGATGTGCTGACGCATAAACACAAAATAAAACTTTGTATATAAATTTTCTTTTGCAATCATTGGATATTTCAATATTTTTTTTAGAGTTTTAACAATTTACGACGACAAATGAGTTTCAGGCTGAATTCAAGATCCATTGTATTGGGACTAGATGCATATATTTGCTATAGCTCTTTATAACCCTAGACATGCATTGATCAGCTCACGTCGTTGGAGTTATGTCGGAAAATGCACACGTGCTGCGAGGACCCCCCCCCCCCCTCCCACCACCACCTGTCGGGCCACAAACAACAGCTGACACTTTACAACAAGCAGCTACGCGCGATTGTGTCACTTTCAATGCTTTTAATTTCAACATAGTAAATGAAAAAAAAACAACACACTTTTCCTTTCAACATCTCTGTTTTTTTCGTCGTAAAAATTGTAACGTCCCCCCCCCCTCACCATAACAGAATGTAACTACTATCGTCCAAACTAAGTAAAGAGCAAATGCTTTTTCGAAAAATACAGATATTTATTCTATTATTTATTGTGTCCCACAGACTTTGTATGCCTCCACCATAAAACGAAACATTTCTTAACTAACATTATGAACAAGATGCGTTAACTGTAGCTACAGTACCCACATACACTTAACCACGAAACCAGATATGCTCCCCAACATGGAGACATGCACTGCGAAGCTACAGCCGACTTCATTTAACCCTAACCATAAAAGTAGAGTAGGTCGACCAACACGAGCAAGATACATGCACGGTAGAGCTACAGCCCACATTATATAACCCTAACCATAAAACTAGAATAGGTCACCAAACATGAACAAGAGGCATTTGTGGTAACGCTATAGACAACACGTAACCCTAACCATGTAATCAGATACGGTTAACCAACACAAAACCCTAACCATGTAACCAGATCAGGTTCGCCAACACATAATCCTAACCATGTAACCAGATTAGGTTCGCCAACACATAATGCTAACCATGTAACCAGATAAGATTAAACAACACATTACCCTAACCATGTAACCAGATTAGGTTAGCCAACACATAACCCTAACCATGTAACCAGATTAGGTTAACCAACACATAACCCTAACCATGTAACCAGATTGGGTTAACCAACACAAAACCCAAACCATGTAACCAGATAAGGTTAACCAACACAAAACCCTAGCCATGTAACCAGATAAGGTTAACCAACACATAACCCTAACCATGTAACCAGATAAGGTTAACCAACACAAAACCCTAGCCATGTAACCAGATAAGGTTAACCAACACATAACCCTAACCATGTAACCAGATTAGGTTAATCAACACATAACCCTAACCATTTAACCAGTTAAGGCCAACCAACACAAAACCCTAACCATGTAACCAGATAAAATTAACCAACACACAACACTAACCATGTTTCCAGATCAGGTTTACCAACACAAAACCCTAACCATGTAACCAGATAAGGTTAACCAACACATAACCCTAACCATGTAACCAGATAACGACTCAGCTAACCGTCACGATTTCTTATCTCGAGTCAGCCTCGGGGCCGGTGTAAACAACACAACAACAAGCGGGGCACCTTGACCTAACATCAACCTTGACCCTGACCCAGCTGCGACATGGCTTTTCTGCAAAGCAATACATTTGCTTGTGGTTGCAACATTTTGCCAGTGCAGTCTGAACTGTAAGTGCACACACTTAACATGGCGGTGTATGCTGATAAGGTGATAAGGCTGTTGGCACAGTGACAAAATGTAAAATAACCTGGAGCTAGAAATGCATGTCAACCATACATTTATAGAAGTGTAACTAACAGTCCTAGAAATACATGCTTTAACTTGACATAAATGATTTAGCTGTACCCACAGTACGGCTAGGTCAAGTTACGGTTAGATTAATGACTAGGAATACTGTTTGTAAGTGCGCGTGTAAATATATATATATATATATATATATATATATATATATATATATATATATATATATATATGAGTGTGAGTGTGTGTGTGTCTGTCTGTCTGTCAGTGAGTCAGTTTAATTTCTTGAGACTGAATCCCATTTACGCAATGGCATCAGTAAAGTGAATTCAAATACAAACATGTAAATGAAAACTTTAAAAAATTAGCTTAGTATTTAATGGGCCCTCAAACATTGCAGATAGTCATTGGAGACTTTCAACATATTGTTAGTTAAAATAAGTGAGTGAGCAGATTACATGAACACAACTAACTAATCCACCAACTCTCCTGGCATTCAATGACATCTCAGACACTTAAACTTAATCCAAAATTTAACACTTATCCTAACCACACCATCCACCATCTAACCTGAAACCTTAACTTTTACCACACCGACCGACGCCTGTACTTAAAACCTATCTTACCAGTTAATTGCTTCTGTTAATTTGTAAATAATATACTAAGATGTTACTCAATTAAACCATTAATACTCATCTCCCTAATTAAACCACCCATCCCTAATTAAACCACCAGTCCCTAATTAAACCACCTGTCCCTAATTAAACCACCAGTCCCTAATTAAACCGCCAGTCCCTAATTAAACCACCTGTATCTAATTAAACCACCAGTCCCTACATAAACCACCAGTCCCTAAATAAACCACCAGTCCCTAATTAAACCACCAGTCCCTAATTAAAACACCAGACCCTAATTAAACCACCAGTCCCTAATTAAACCACCAGTCCCTAATTAAACCACCTGTCCCTAATTAAACCACCCGTCCCTAATTAAACCACCAGTCCCTAATTAAACCACCAGTCCCTAATTAAACCACCAGTCCCTAATTAAACCACCAGTCCCTAATTAAACCACCAGTCCCCAATTAAACCACCCATCCCTAATTAAACCACCTGTCCCTAATTAAACCACCCATCCATAATTAAACCACCAGTCCCTAATTAAACCACCAGTCCCTAATTAAACCACTAGTCTCTAATTAAACCAGCATTACTCACCTACGATGTAGTCGTAAGTAGTGTTGAGTTTTGTCACCAGTCCAGGCCCAGGCGAGTCCCCGTCAATGTACAGAGTTTTGATGAGAATACCAGCCACAGCCACAAACAGTACGGAGGCGACGGTTGACATGGCACCTGAGTTATTTCCCTGCAATCAACCTGAGTTACCTCTCTGAACTCACTGAATGATGTGAAAATAAATGACAGATAATTGTTGTCTTAATGCTCTGATGTATAAAAAAAAATTCGCAAGTAAAAAATTGAGGAAATAAATCACAAACTTTATCATCGAGCTGACTCGAAGGTATTCAGTTGAGTACAGCTAGAATGTTCAGGGGAAAAAATTCAGGACACCCCCCCCCTTCCCTTTGTCACACATCGTCACATAAGCTCGACTCCCCACCTTCCGATCGTCACACTTCGTTACATTTGTCCGACCACCCCACTTTCCTTAAAGTATAACGTTATTAATTAACGACTCCAAAACATAACACCACAGTAATAGCATCGGGTAAATGTGTACTTTTTTTTTAAACAATAACGAATTTTATAAAATTCACATTAAAATCTGAGAAATGTAACACAATTATCAAATAAAAATATAAGAACTGAAACACAATTATCCAATTAAAATATGAGAATTGTAACAAAATTATCCCAGTGTTACCTACCTGTCGAATGTAGCAAGAATATCCCAGTAACAACTGTAACCAGCTGTAACAAAGATCGGATTTACAAACAGAACAGAACGTAACTCTCCCTTCAACTCCGGCTGTGTGAATAACTATCGCGCCAAGGTCGGCCGTGTTGTGACCTTGAGCGGTTGACTGTAATGTTCCACGTATTAAATACCGTACTCTTAAGAAATGTTTTTCTAAGCGGATATATATCTCAACATTCGTTAACTGTTCTTATAGTAAAGATGGATATTATTATTACTATGCTGAAACTTAATTAAGCAACCTTTACAACACCAGGGGTAAACTATCACTGTAGCTAATATATATATATATATATATATATATATATATATATATATATATATATATATATATATATATATATATATATACATATATATATATATATATATATGTATATATATTATACAACTGACTCTCGCCGAGAGTATTAATTAATATTTACATTGCATGTTTTGTATAACTTCAAACTTTATGCACAAGTTATATTTTTAAGGTTGTGCTAGCTTTAACATTTTTATTCAGGCGATTAATATCTAGCGTCTGACAGTATTATATCTGATCGGAGGTTATATGGTGGTTTATAGCAGGTGGAAACTAGTTTGGTCTAGTTTTATTTCCATATCATTCTAGCAATCTTGAATCTAACATATTGTGTGGTTGGATCTGAAGTTCATGCAACCAGTGACAGGCAGTTGAAAAACAGCTGTAATCGCTGGCTTGTACAGTGATCAGAAGATCTACTGTATGTACACAGATCAGAAGATCTACTGTATGTACAGAGTTCAAAAGATCTATTGTATGTACAGAGATCAAAAGATCTACTGTATGTACCGAGATCAAAAGATCTACTGTATGTACAGAGTTCAAAAGATCTACTGTATGTACAGAGTTCAAAAGATCTACTGTATGTCCAGAGATCAAAAGATCTACTGTACGTCCAGAGATCAAAAGATCTACTGTATGTCCAGAGATCAAAAGATCTACTGTATATACAGTGGCTTGTACAGAGATCAAAAGATGTACTGTGTGTACAGAGTTCAAAAGATCTACTGTATGTACAGTGGCTGGAGCTTCTGGTACGTTTGACAGCAAACGTACAGGACAACGGGATGAAGGTATGAAACATGGACTGTCTGGGCAGATAAGTCTGATATTGGGACTACACGAAACTAGTCACAACATCTCAAAACTAGAAACAGCATTCCCCTCCCCACCAAATAGTCGTTGGCTATTTTTACTGATGAAATGAGATCTTATTATATGCCCTTGTGTGACAGTACAAAATGTTATTGTATTCAAGTAAAACTCAATATTTTCTGAATGAAATGAAGGAAAGATTTTAACTGCTTGGCAATAAATCCCGTATTTTCTTAACAATGTAATCGTCGACTGTTGTTTGATAAAACGTGTATTGGGGGATGGAGCAGTGTTGAGGCCTCTATTATCTAACACACGCCATCAACTATTTCTTCTCAGTGGTATGTATTCTAATGCTAAACAGTTGATTTAGGAAATAGTTAAATCCGTCGTGTAAGAGTCAGCTTTACTTCGGTTATATAGTTGAGTAAAGCATCTTGTATACCACACTGTGTTAGCGCTCCTGAGACGGTCGATTACCCCCTGTTGTTGTGTAAAGAAGGGAAGCATGGGCGTGTTGACCCTTTTAATGCTATTTGCTGTATCGATACATGACTGAGTTAATTGAGGCGGGCAGAAGTTTTCAGACATTTTGCCCCCAGGAGAGATGGGCACGGTACGTCCCCCGGAGAGATGGACACGGTACGTCCCCCGTTAGAGATGGACACGGTACGTCCCCCGTTAGAGATGGACACGGTACGTCCCCCGGAGAGATGGACACGGTACGTCCCCCGTTAGAGATGGACACGGTACGTCCCCCGTTAGAGATGGACACGGTACGTCCCCCGGAGAGATGGACACGGTACGTACAACGGAGAGACGGGCACGGTACGTCCCCCGTACAGATGGGCACGGTACGTCCCCCGGAGAGATGGACACGGTACGTCCCCCGGAGAGATGGACACGGTACGTACAACGGAGAGACGGGCACGGTACGTCCCCCGTACAGATGGGCACGGTACGTCCCCCGGAGAGATGGACACGGTACGTCCCCTAGAGAGATGGACACCGTACGTCCCCCGTAGAGATGGGTACTGTATGACCCCCGGAGAGATGGGCACGGTACGTACAACGGAGAGATGGGCACGGTATGACCCCCGGAGAGATGGGTACGGTACGTCTCCCGGAGAGATGTAAGAACACCAGTGGCGTAGCGAGGTCGGGTGTCACCCGGTGCGGCACTTAATGGTGTCACCCCCCCAGAGGCGCTGCGACCCTTCCCGGGGACAAACTTTCAAGTTTTCGATTTGCACCCCCCTCAAACTTTCGATTTGCACCCCCCCTCAAACTTTCGATTTGCACCCCCTCCCCTCAAACTTTCGATATGCACCCCCCCTCAAGTTTTTCTCTATATATTTTGCTATTTTTTGCCTTGGTGTCACCCCCCTAAATGGTGTCACCCGGTGCGGTCCGCACCCCCGCCCCCCCCTCGCTACGCCCCTGAAGAACACTAGAGGTAGTTGATGAAGGGTTGGTTGGTACATATTATTAAAATGTCAGTTTCAGACAAATTTCTTGACAATTTAAATATTTTTCACATTGTTGTGTAAATAGACCAGATATCCTCCACACCATTTTCATTGCTCACTCTGCGACTTGCTGTGTTGACGTGTGTAGACGCCCACAGGTTTACCCCCCACCCCCACCCCTGTTCCTTCACCTTACAGAGATTAAAACTGACACAAACGTGTGATATCAAGTCGTCGTGTCTGAATCAACCAAACAGGAAGTAAAACGGAAAAGCACATCAATTAGGATGGTTCAGGGATGATATGAAGTAGAAAACAATTCATTTCTGAGTCATCGATCAATTTTAAACAACCCATGTGCTTGTGACTGTATGCTGAAGGCCTAAGTCTCACTGACACGTACACTGACAATAACTGACTTCAGTAGACCGTGAGGTCACATCAACACAGTTCAAACACACCACTGTTGTTACCAGTCTCACAGTACATGTTTAAGTGAGGCTTTAACATCAACAGAGTTCAAACACGCCACTGTTTTCATCAGAGTCTCACAGTACATGTTTAAGTGAGGCTTTAACATCAACAGAGTTCAAACACGCCACTGTTTTCATCAGAGTCTCACAGTACATGTTTGATTGAGGCTTTAACATCAACAGAGTTCAAACACACCACTGTTGTTACCACAGTACATGTTAAGTGAGGCTTTCACATCCACAAAAACAAATTACAAGCTACATTGGAAATACTTCCAACAGATTAAAGTTAAAGTACTTAATCTGAATTTTACGATAGCGAAAACTTGTGGCGGTAATCATTTCACTCCAGAAGTGCACTAGACGCAGCTATTTGTGGGATAACCAAGCTTTGTTTACGTTTTGGTCGGCAGCTAGGTCAAGGCCTTTAGTATACACACAGACCACGTGAGGGGGTTATTTTTATCATACGGTTCTTCTACAATATACGAGAAAACAAATACGTGGGCGTTGCTAACAGGAACATACGATATACAAAATAAATTATGTAAGTGGCTAAGGGTTCATATGTTATTGCAGCGACGGTTGGTAATAGGCTTAGAAGAATAAACATAACTTTCTGTAGTGTAACATTCATATAAGTGTTTTAACCAACGTCATGCTTATCATTAGAGTAGATGCCAACCTTAACATACTTTGGCAGATAAGCACACATATATTATCTCATCTTCACACACACCATTCCCCACGTCCTTACCAATTCCCTAAACATAACATCTCATTGTCTGAATTAATCTCAAACCAAACTAAAGTTTCACCCTCCCCCACCCCTTCAAACCCAAATTATAATACTACGCCAAACGTCGTCCTACTTAGACGTCATCTCCAATCCAAAAACCCACCTATCGATTTGTATTTGACCCGACACTGAATTTCAGGAGTGCGAACAAACGGCCACTTAAATTAAACACCGATTTGTAAAGTTAAAACAATGCAGAACCAAATGAACGGGATGATTATGTCGCTATTTATCACTCAATGTCTAACGCTTTATTTGAAACAGTTGATCTTTAGCCTCTTACCGATACATCAGACAGCCTGACAGTTACTACATTATAGGTGAGATACAATAACTAGTCACCTTTTTGTTATCTTATGTGTTGTGTTTAGTACACTGTGGTGTCTCAGTCTAGCCCAGCTGTCGCATCTAGATTGAACGCGTTGTTTAGTAGATTGCTTCAAGCCCAGTATACATATTGCAACAATCACCCTTAGATCAGTGGCGTCGCGAGGCGGAGGCAGGGGTTGCAGACCGAACCAGGGGCGGGTGACTACAAGACACAAAAATATATAGAAGAAAATGACGTAAACGTGCTAACTATAGAGAAAACACAATGTAACATCCAGCTAATAACCGACTATGGTCAAACATCGTTACTTTAAACTTTGAAACCAAACTTTTAAGCTATCACCCGAGGGGAGGGGGGGGGGGGCGGTGTGACACCAACTACTAAATTCACTGAGGAAATTAAAGTTTAGTAGAATATTTTCAATAACTAATAAGTCGGTTAACGACCGGGGTGGGGTGACATCAAAAGCTGCCGCACCGGGGGACACCCGACCTTGCGACGCCACTGCCTTAGACTATCATATTTTTAGGGTGTAGAAAACAAAGTACATTTGTTGTCTAAAAGTAACTCTGATACAAATTCCGCGATACATTTTAAAGACTGCTAATCCAATTATTTATAATTTGAAGCAGAAACAATGCATATTCTCTTCTCCTCACTATTTTACAGTTTTAACACACTAAAGTAACTGGACGTGGCACAAAATGAAGCAATTTTAAAAACATACAAATGACGTCTGCACCTTTCCGCATTTTAATTTCCAACCTATTGAATTTATAAATTTTGTTTGTATACGAAAAAATAACTAAAAGTGTATATAATATAGCTAGTATAATGCAACAATAAAGTACGTTGTCATACGTTTTGCAATTTAAAAACAAACCTACTCTCTTGTAGCTTCACTTGTTTTATATAGTTATTCCTAGAGTAAGTGAACGATATTTAGGACAAATGCACAGTCAGCTCCAAAGACAAGATGGGGAGTTAGTCCTGACTGGTTACACTGCTGACTGCTGCACTCTTCAGAGGAATAGCGACCCTTCCCGGCGCCCGGGGACAAACTTTCAATTTGGCGCCCCCCCCCCCATATATTTTTTATATTTACAATGCAAAACTGCAACTAAAATGAGCCCCCTCCCCCCCCCCCCTTCGCTACGCCTATGACACTCTTCTTTCGTTATTCTAATTTGAGGAGTCTGGGAATTCACAAACAGCTTGAACGTTATTAGTATTGCACCTTGAAAGATACATGGTGGAATTGTGTTCAGGCAACAAGAAAACGCAGTTCTCAAAAGGACGGTCAGTTGGCTGATCAGGATACCAATTAAAAAACTGTGCCGGTTTCTGACTACGTCTAAATTTAAATGTTCCTTCAGGGCGTTCCTTGTAAATCCCCGTGTAGATGTAGTATGATACGTAATCAGTGTAGTTTAATAGACCCTGCACCACGTGATACTCTCTAGCGTCGTCTATTTCAACCAGGTAACCTCCATAACGTTGACACAAAAACTCAGCGGTTGCCACGGTCATGTAGGGTTGTCTAGTTAAAGAATAGGTTGTGTTTCTGTCATGGACACTATAACTAAAAAGCCAACTCTTCCTGTCTTCTTCCATTGCACTGTTGTAGTGCTGCAGCAGTTGAATGTTTGCCTGTGCTGCCATGCTGATGGATTCAGAATGTGACATGTTGTGAATGAGAACCGTCACCAGACTGTTTAAATCTGTAATATCTTGTTTGGCCAGCTTCAAGTCAACATCCAGCTCTCGTATCTTCTCCAGGAGCTGGTCACTGCCTGGACGTCTGCTTGTGACGTCAGTTCCAGCCATGACGTTAACATTATGTCCGATAATATCCAGTCCCTGGCAGGCGCACATATAGTGTCCATTCTGCTTCTCTGTGGGGTGCTCCCACTGTAGCTCCAGAAAAGAATTAGAACCAATGTCTATGGAGCCGTTGGCTGTCAGACCTTCAGACGACAGAACACGGACAGGTTGACCTGCAAACGCGACCACTGAGGCCAGTTCTGTGTAGGTGCTGGAACTGTTGGCAGCGCGGGATACGATGATGGACAAGATGGCGGACATGTTGTGCTGGTCGACCTGGTTTAGGTCACACCTGACGGTCAGTGACGTCAGACCGAGATCAATCACGCTGGGGTTAGCTGACATGTGAACTAGACCACCTGGAACATCATGGGGCAATTCAAAAAGTAATGTTTTATTCTCATCTATATGGACACACGTATTGTGATTATAAAATAATGATACTCGCCAGATAGTTTGTACATAACAGTTATAAAGCTACCCGATAGATTACACGTTATATGACTTCAAATTAGGAACAAATAAAATAATAGTCGTTGGCTCCCTGGACAACAAATAAAAACCAAACTGAACTAACCGTGTTATTTAAATAACATATTTACCTGTCACTTGTGTTTGTAAGACAAAGAACAGACTTAGTAGAACGATCGATGCCATGTTGCAAACAGCCAGGTAAAATCTCGCTCCTATTCATGCAGACTGCAGTGACAATCTAACAGTATCAGTTAATGATAACAAGATAATGTTACGATCCTAAATAGGCTACAGCATAGATTAAATCAGTCGCGATAACCAATGTTTCCTGGTTTTGCTTTGCTATTTGACAAAGCTAATGCGGCTTTTTTTTCTTAGAAAAATTACTTTGCTGATACTCAACATTCATAAAAAGGGAAAAACTCTCAATTATATCGATGCATTACGAATGTACAAGGTCTAGCCATAAACCTTTCAAACTTCAGACAGTGTGACTACATGGACGTTGACGCGAGTGGTTTTTGCATTCAGTGTGTCCTTGCGCCAACCTATCGCGGCATTTAGAGGTGAGGGGATACAGTTTTATCTTGGGCTTAAATAGCTCAGCTTTTTCAGATAGGCCTCGTTACATCAATACCCCACCCAAACTGAATACACCGGAATTTTCTAAGATGTACGATCTCAGCTAACTAAATAATTAATACACATTAGTATATCTACTTAAAAATAAGTTATCAAATAAACTATCTTTACAGTTCCTCAATAAAAACTTCTCCATAGCTACCAATGCTTATAAATGATTCAGATATAATGAAATGAAAACACATAATAATCTAAACATTTATTTAGATGTCTGAACATTAAATATATTTGCCACTTATTCGCTCTTTTGAACTTTTATCTCAATAAAAAAGAACTAACAAAGAATATTTACAAACAAACTAAGAAAACATTATTTCCCTTATTTTCAATCTTTGTAACTTTCTATCCTTACGTACTTAAGACAAATATATTTAGCCTGAAAATCATAAACAAGCTAGATACGCAAATGGTCGGCATTTTTGGTCCATCGTCATTGATGATCTATACTGTTGAGATAACATACTGTTTAATTATTAGCTTATTCACGAGTAAAAATTTTCTTTTTCTAATGTTTCAGTAAAAACAACGTAAACTATTAATTTAATTAATTTTATGCCTTATATAAATTAAATTTAGGATATTTAACAAAATTAATATACTTTCGTTTTATCAAAAGCGAAATTAAATCAATATTTTACTTCCAACAAACACACATTAAGTGTACAATAAAATAGGGCGCTTTGTTTAGAGGGTTTGAATAAGTCAGCAACTACTATTAAAGCACCATTCTAATATATAAAAGCCCATGTGCGCTAGTCTATCTGTCCGCAGTAGGCCTATTTTTGGCAACGTCGTCAGCATGTTGAGCGATATGTGGAGAACTTAAAGATACGGACTTTAGTTGAAAATAATAATTATGGTGGACGGTACTAATATATATATATATATAGATGACCCACATGTCTAAAAGTCGATTATCTGCTCCGTAAAAGCAGCGGTCCGAGACCATATTTCACAGACAACAGCAACTTCTTATTTTCTTTTACCTCCCCTTAGTTTCAAATCGTTTAAAAACTTTATTACATGCCCCTAATAGCCTTCACTAGATCGACACTCTCCGCGATTGTAAACATTCGGCGTGAACCACAGCAGTTTCTTCCAGGCAAAATTTACCGCCCCCCCCCCCCCCCCGAAGAAAGTCTACCCCCCCCCCCCCGAAAATTTAAAGTGCCCCCCGGGAGAAAAAAGTCTGGAAGAAACACTGAACCACAACTCACCAGTCTGGTCTGGTGATAGAGTCTAGCTAGTTATCTCCCCTTCTGTTATTGAATATAGTAATCTATCGAGTGATTTAATTTTGTGATCTCCAATTAATACCAAAATAGTTTAAATAATTGTAATGACTAAGTAAACATCTAATTAAATAAAAAAAAAACTATTGTATTGCCATCAAAATAGAACGTATCTGAAAAGTGAGTCAAAATTGAGTTACAAGATTTGCCACAAACCCACAAACAAACAAACAAACGTCGCGAACTAAATAAAAGCTTGTAAAAACAAGGTAATCTTAGTACAATGGCACAATACAGATTAGCAAGTTAGAACTATTACACCATTAGTTGCCTGTAGTTATCAATAACATTAACAGTATAGAATAAGTAGAAGATTGCTATCTCTCTTTCCTGATTAATCAGCTCAGTAACTGCGGCCTGATTATTTTTTTATCGTAACTGATATTATAGTTCAAAAACTAAAATATCAGATTTAATTATCGCTCTCACGTCAGTGATTAAATATAAATAGTACACAATGAAACTTAGAAACGATTGCGTAAGGAAAAAGTAGTCCAAAATTATTATAACAAAAATATTTAATGTCATACGTAAAGTGTGAGTGATCTCCCCTAACCTTTCTTGAACATTCTTATGTAAATGTAAATAGGGTGGCACTTGCAGTGCAATCGTGCTTTCCTTATATACATTGGAACCGCTGTTTTTCTTTTAAGGAAACATAGGTAGAAAAAAATTCTAAGAATAAGGTTGATGAGAATGTGATATAAAATTATCGAAGTCGATGGTGTTTGATAAATTGAAAACGGGGCAAAATACCGCATTATTCTTTTTTGTTTCAATATACACTCTTTAAATATAACCAGACTACCTAGTTTACAATTTCTAAACGGTCTGTCGGCTGCACTGCAAAACACAAACTAATATAACATTACGGACATCTCCACCCTCTATATATCCTTTTAACTCTTATTTAATCCGTGATTCGACCCGAAGACCCACCCAATCCCTTAGGCCATCCATTTATGCCAAGCAAAACCAAAAGCAGAATAGGAGAAAATCTCGTCAAACGCCGCATGTTGAAGATGGTGAAGTTAATTCTTGGGGATTCTAGTGCAGTAAAGATGCAACAAATATTTCTGCCTAATAATACTATTCAGCGGCTAATAGCAGACTTTAAATAAAAATGTTTTTAATGAATTCAAGCTTTCACAATTGTTTGCTTTCCAAGTTAATAAATCAACAGACGTGAGTTCGTGTTCTCTGTTGCTAGTCATATATTCATTCGTATGTTAGCAAAGAAGAAATGCTATTTAGTGAAGATAGCACGGAGAAAATGAATACGATTTATGAAACTGGATGATTAAAATGCGTTAAAACGGCTGTGGTGGTTTGAACGGATGGTGCACCATCTATGTTTAGGTCCAAATCGGGCTTTCCAAAAACAGAAAAGATTTAGCTCCCAGTAGTATATTAGGTCACTTTTGGTTATCATTTTTGGCGGAGCAGGATGGGGAAAGGTACAATGACATATAGTAAAATACTCGGGAGCAGGATGGTGAGGATGGACAATGACATATAGTAAAATACTCTCCCCCCTGCCGCAGCCTGGCGCATCGCAGGGGGAGCAGGATGCGCGGGATGGACAACGATATATAGTAAAATACTACGCCAACTGGAGTTGGCGGAGCAGGAGGGTGGCGTAATCTCCGGTGACCTTGTGACGTAATCAGTGACATTATGACGTAATCACTGACCTTGTGGCGTAATCATTGACCTAGTTACGTAATTTTAATGCGTTTTTAATGAGATTTTTAATTAGTTTAATGAGTTTTTTTTAAAATTTAAATTAGTTTTTATTAACGAATTACGTAAGTTGATTATTTGTTTGATTTTTTTAATTGTTTAATTTGTTTGTTTACTTGTTGTTTAATTTAATTACTTTGTTTATATTGTGTAATTTTTATTAACGAGTTACGTAATTTGATTATTTGTTTACTTTTTAATTATTTTTATTGTGTAGCTACGTAATTGGATTTTAATTTTTTAAATTTTTTAAATTTTATTTTATAATTAGTTTAATTATTATTAACTAGTTACGTAATTTGATTTTAATTTTTTTAAATTTTTTACATTTTTTAAATTTTTAAATTTTTTAAATTATTATTTTTAAATTTTTTTTTTAATTGTTGTTTACTTGTTGTTTAATTTAATTACTTTGTATAATTTATTTGTTTGAAATTTATTTTTATTAATTTGATTTAAATTTCTTTGTTGTATGGTGTTTAAAATAAAAGACTAACACTAGAGTGGACTTTGTATAGGGACCATTCTCCAACACAACGAACGGTTACCAAAAATAGAACATCCATTTAACCAGCCGTGCAACACCTGTTACTTATCGATCCACCCGTGAACCTTCCCGGCGCTGCGCGTTTTTTAATGGGAATGTATTGATCGCACCCGTTGGGACATCAAACCTAATTAAATTTGGTCACGCATCGTGTGTTTATGTGTTGTTCGCCGAAGCGAACACCGTAGGGGTCCGGTGTTTGATCGAAAGAGCTAAGTGGTTAACCGCAAAGCCAGCGTTAAGTGTGCGAACACCTGTTACCACTTTAATTGATTTTTTTCCCCCGGTTGGGTCCCGTGCTTTTCACTAACAGTTATACGGACAGTATCATAGGTTTTTCATCGAGTAAAGAAATAGTATTGATCGACCCGTGTCTAGTCTATGTACCCATTAACCAACTGTGCAACAGCTGTTGCGCGACCACAGCATAGGATCTGGTAATTATCGCGAAGCCATTAAGGACTTTGGTTGTAACTATTCGCTTATAGCGAGGGTCAGCGAAAAAAAAATATATTTAAGGGTTGGAATTTTCTTTCAACCACCGTTAAATCAGGTTTTGAGACGAAACGAAGTCTCGGTAGGTTCGTGTTTTTTAATGGGCGACAGGGCGACTTGGTGCGTTGGTACGTGAGGTATGCGGGGTTGACATGTTTTTTACAAG